TTAATAAATTTTCTTACTTATTATATTTATGATATATATATATATTCTTTTGATATAAATTATATTTCTATTAAAAATATTTATTAAATCTTTATATTTTTTACGTTTTAATAATTTTTTATTTAAATTAAATATATTTTGTTTTTAATTATTTTTTCTATTTATTATAAAAATATTTTTATTTGCTTTATTTCTGAAAAAATTAGATATACCTTTTTAATGAAATTTTTTATTATTCTTTTATAATTTTTATTCTAAAATTTATAATTTTTTTTATAATATAATTAAATTTTATTAACAAAATATTTAATCTTATTTAAGTTATATATTTATTTTTATATAAAATTTATTAAAATAAAAAAAAATGAATTAATTAAATCAACTTTAATTAAATGAAAATTATTAATCATATAATTCAATGAATTCACCTAAAAATAATAATATTTATAAATATAAAAATAATACATAATCTTCATATTTAGATAATACTTTATTAACATCTTTAACAAAAAATAATAAATAAAAATAAAGAAAATATAATAGGATTAATCATTGATTTTTAATTATTTTGCAGATTAATTGTTATAAAATAGTGAATTTATTGATATATATGAAAGTAAAAAATTATTTTAAACTGATAATGAAAATTAAGTAGATTATAATTAATTAATTTTATATAATCCTGAAAAAGAAAAGAATAATTCAATCAATTAACACATAAGTATTTAAAAAAATTCTTAAAAAAAACATTAAAAAACAAAGTTTTACAAGAAAATATGAAATTAGAAACTTTTATAGAAAATAAAACCATTTTCATAAAAATAAATTTATTAAAAAAATAATTTCCATTAAAAATAAAAATATCATCAAATGTATCAAAATATCAATTTTTTTTTCTTTTTATGATCCTTATCCTGATCAAGAAAAGTCAATTCAAGACTTTCCTATAAGAAAAGAACATTTATATAAATTTTATAAACCAAAATAATTCACATAATGGGCATACATAGCACTTTAAACAAAAAATAAGTTAGATTAGAAATAAAAGCATGGTTTACAGGTATATATATATATAAATTATTTTTTATGCATAAAATTTGTTATAGATTTGCAGTTAGAATAACATAGAAACAAAGGAGTACATAAGAAAAAATTATCTCCTTTAAAAAAGATTATTATAAATTAAAAGATAAATATAAATAAGAATAAAGTGAATAGGAAAAAAGTAATTTGAATTGGAAGTGAGTATATTAAAAATAAAAATATTATTATATTAATAAATTATATAAATGCAAAGTCGAAATAAAAAATAAGAAATAGAAAAAGCTTCCTTAATTAGAAAATTCGATTATTGAAAGGAATAAAGAATTAGCTTTTAATGTAGATTTAATAAATAAGAAAAAAAATTTTGATTTTTTAATGCATAAAATTAAATGCGAAGAAGTAGTTAGAAAAAGCATTTCTATGCAACTTATAAGTTATTAATAAAAATACACGAGTTATATTAATAAAAAATTCGCACACGAAATTAATAAAAAAAAAGTAAGATAATATTTATTTATATTTTATATGATATTTTTTATTTATATATATATATATATATAATATATATATATATATATATATATATATATTTATTTATATTTTATATAGAGAGTTAATAGAGAAAAATAATTATATATAGATAATTTTACTGCTTAATGGATCAATCATATAACATTAATAATATTAGCTAATAAATTTATTAATAAAATTGAAGTATTTTTTTATATTTTTACCCTTATTGTATAATATATATATATTTATATTATTATAATTTTATTTAAATTTTATTTTTTATTATTTATTTAAATAGTTGTATAAATTAGCTATTATATTCTAAGGAAGAAGAAAAAGAGCCTTTAAACTATTCATTTAAAATTATCGGGCTTAGTAATTTGATTTATTACCGAATCGTAATTTATTAGAACGTATTACATGTGATTATCTTCTGTAATTAAAAATATTATTTTTCTATACTTTATATTACTCATAAAAATAAATAGTTCTTTAAAATTAAAAGCTTGTCTAATCAAAGGTGTTAAATATAAAAAAGCATCTAAAGTTATAAAAAAATTAATTTCAAATATGATATAATAACACTCTATAACACAAATATATTATAAATCAATTTAGTTTTTTAAATCGAGTATTTTTATTATTATCTTTTATTTTTTAAAAATAATATAAATATAGTTTCTATTGTATAAATACATATAAAAAAAAAACATAATATGAATAATAAATAACATCTAGAATATTAGAAATTTATATTGAAAGATTAAAAGACTATGATTTTAATTAAAAAAATGAAGGTTAATTAAAAGAAGATTAATCTTAATTATTTTATTATACGAACTTTATAAAAATGTTTTTTTATTTTTTTATTACTTTTTTTATTTAAACTAAAAATAGGAATTAAAAAGGAAAAATTATCAAATATTACATTTAATTATAAAAAGAAAAATATAAAAGAAAAATAGGCCTTATATTAGGAAAAATATAACCTTTAAATGAAGAAGATAATTAGTTTTTAGAATAAATAAATTAAATTAATATTTAAACTGAAAATAATTCATAAAGAAATACACTTTAAAATATCGATTCTATATAGGAATCTAAAGATTAAGAAATGCGATAAAAATAATAAATTCAACCTTAAATTGATATTTACGACCTTTAGAAAAAATTAGATAGAAATGGCATAACTTTAAATTTAATAAAGGATAGGAAAATTATATGGGATTTACTTCTTTAAAAAATTCAGGATATTAAACAAGATAGGGTAGAAGGATTATAAGAATTATATTTAACTTAAAGCTGATTTTTTAAAAAAATAAATAAAAATTAAATATAAATTAATTATATTTTAATTTTAAAATAATAATTATCTAAATATGAGAAAAATGATATATTTACAGATAAAAATTTATATTTAACAACAAAATAAAATAAGTATTTTTATTATACTAAACTTATAAATAATTTTTTTTTTATTCTTTTTTATATAATTTTTTTAATTATAATTAATTTTAATTTTTTTTTATTTATTAATTCCAGATATATATATATAATTATTTCTTATATTTTATTCTACTTCTTATATATTTTTTTGATTTAATTTTCTTAATTTTTAAACTTTTGATAATTATTAAATTTATTTGCTAATATTAATAACATATTAATTTTATTACAGATATGTTTATTATTAAAATTAATGTAATAATATTTTATACATTATTATATAATAATAATATACATAATTAGTAATTTTTATAATATTTATTAATTTGATTTATAATAATATTTTTATTTTTAAATAGTAAAGATTTTCTTTTGATTAATATTAACTTTTTATTAAAAATAAAATAATTGATAAAAATAGCTTTATCTTTAAAATATATATTCTTTATTAAAAATAACATTAAATTATGTACATCTAAAAAACTATATACTTAATCTATAATAAATCAATACTTTATTAACAAATAATTAAAACTAATTTGGTTAATATTATCTAAAATTTAACTAAGAATGAATAAAAAAAAAATTAAATAATATAAATATTATGTAAAAAAAAAAAATTTGGTTTTAAAATTTTAATATTTATATATAATTTTGATGAAATTGATAAAAAAATGGAATAATACTTTATATAAAATTAACTATATATATAAAATATTATCGAGAATATTAATAGTAAAAATTTATATTTTTTATTAGATATAAGACTAATATAAACATATATAAATATAAATATATATATATAAATATATAAACATATATATATATATATATATATATTTATATTTATATTTTTTTTCTCTTTCTTTTTTTTTTGCCAATTATTTTATATATTTTTTTTTATTAAAAATAATGATTTTTTTTTATTATTTGGTTAAAGAGTATATTTTTATAAAAAAAATCTTTAATTTGTAAAATAAAAAATAAACATTTTTTTATTTATTATATTTTTAATATTTTGATTTTTCTTTTTCTAAGAATTCTATATTATTACTTTCATATTTAATATATTCCATAAACATTTAAATAAAATTTAATATCATGAAATTTAAATAATATTATAAAAAATATAATTAAAAAACTAGATTAATTTATTATTTATATTTTCATTAAGTAAAAAATGAATTAAATATTTATATATATATTATTTTTATGTTTAATAAAATTTTTTAATTTTATTTTATTAATTAATAATATATAATATTACTAATCTAATTATAAATTCATATAATAATATTTAAAAATTCATTATAGTCTTTATTATATCCATTATTATAATTTTCATATTTATTTTCTATTAATTTATAATAAAATCTTTTTATAATTTTTAAAATAAAGTTAAAATTATTTTTATTTTAGAATTTTTACAATTATTCATATACTGAATTTTGTCCTTTAAAACAAATCTATAATGGTTGATATTTGCAAGATTTAATACTTTAAATATAATATAATAAAATTTAATTTAAGTAAAGTAATATATTACTTTCTTAAATAAAGTAATAGATATGAAATTTTAGTATTAATATCATTTTATTTATTCTTATAGATATCTTACTTTTATATTTTTTATTTTTAAATTAGTTAAAGTAATATATAGGTATATTTTATTTATATATTAAATAAAAATCACTTTTAAATTACTTCATATATTTCTTTTTCAAAAGAACATTCATTTCCAAAAATGTTTTAAATTAATTCCTAATCTCCACTTTATATTTTTTTATAAGTAAAAAAAAAAAAAAAAAAAATTGAAACAAAAGATTAAAAATAATAATAAAATGAATTACTCTTTATTAATATACATAATTAAGACAGTTCCTGTATCCATTAAATAAGCAGTTTTACCTAAAGAATTAAAAGATGTAATCATTTATTTAGGACAAATATATTATCCTTTACTATCTACAATACTTTTATCTTACATATTATCAATACAAAATAAGGCTGGAACAAAATGTAATACCATCTCTTCTACATTTACACTATTAAAAAATATCCTCAAACAATTATTTATATCAGTAGTTATATGCTTTACTTAAATTAAATTTTTTATATAAATAAATAAATATCTTTTTACTATATTAACAGTTAAACACTGAATTTTTAAGAATTCCTAAAATATACAAAGGAAGTTAAATAAGGCTATCTATTAATTGATTCTTTTATTTTTTTTTTCATAAAAAAATATGTATATATTTATTTATTTTATAGGAAAATTAATAATAAATATACTCTATTCATATCCATACATACTTCTATAATACCTCGTGTGATTTCAATAATATTTTATCTAATTTACAAGATATTTTAATTATATAAACTATTAGAACTAACCTTAGCTATATAAGCTGTCAAAACCTAACAATCTGCTTAATTGTAAATATCAAATATATCAGAAGATAAAGGAATTATATAATTATGACATCTAATTTTTCTTATACCATCACTACTAGTGTATAAAAGAGCTGTTTAGATAGAAAAATTATTTATTTTTCGTTCAAAATGTTAATCCATTTCGAATTCATATAATAATGTTTTATTTCTTAAATTTAATTAATTAATTAAAAAAAATAAAAAATTATACTCATCAGACTAAAAAGTTAGTAAATCTCCTTATCTAACACAATAATTTCCAATAATTTAAGAAACTGAAAATCCTTAAGAGCACCTTAATCTAAAAACACTTTCCCATGTAATTTATTTTTTTAAACATTGTCTTAAATTTTATTCAAAATTTTATCCTTAAAATAATATAAAAAAAATATTAAAAAAATAAAAAAAAAAATAAAAAAAAAAGTATATAATAAATATTTATTAAAGTATTTAAAAAAAAATAATATATATAAGAAATTAAATATGTATAAAAAAATATAAATAAAAAAAATAAATATAAATAAATATAAATAAAAATATATATATATATATATATTTATATATAAATATTTTTATTTTTTTATATAAAATATATTTATCTATTACTTTAATTTTATATACTATAGTAATAGAAAATATCTCCATTTAAATATTTTGTAAAATCCAATAGATTAATAATATTTATGAAACTTTCGGAAAACACGAAAATTGACGGACATATAAAATACTATTAAATTTCTTTACTAATATCCTTAAAAAATGTATTATTACTTTCTCTGTAATAATTATCATTATTTACTTATCTGTTTTCTTCTTCTTTAATTTAATTATGTTAAAATATTAAAAGCCTTCCTCCTATATGCTTGAAAATTTTTACTGCTACTTAAATTGCATTACTTATATTCGAAAACTTAACTTAATTTTCTATAAATAATTTTGGTAAAGACTCTATTAAACACAAAATTAAATCTTAACATGTGTCCAAACTCACAACTAAATCTTCGTAAAAAGGTAAATCTTAATCTTAATTTTCCCAATCTGATAAAACAACCATTTAAGGCTAATTTAAATTATATTTTAGCCTATATAAATGAACGTCCTTATCATATGTAATAAAACCGAATTATTTACGCTCACCACCAGGTATATTTCCTTCAAGAATTAACTCTCGGAGAACTTAAGATATTGTTTATAGTATTTCCTAATTTCCTTTACTTACATCTATTAAAAATATATAAGAAGGAGCTACAGGCGGACGTGCAGAATAACTTTAATTATAAAAATTTGTATATATATATAAATATATATAATATTATATATATAATATATATAAAAATATATATATAAATATACTTACATATATATATATATATACTTACATATATATATATATATATATATATATTATACTCTATTCCTGCTAATATTTCATAAGAACCTAATTTTAGTTCGTTTTTTTAGCTCATATCTAGCCTTGTCCCATCTTCTTTTAAAGGTGAGTAATAATGTTTAGGGATAGTTTATAATTTATTACAAAAGTTACATTTATACTTTTATTTTTATTTTTTTATTTGTTTTTTTTATATAAATATATTAAATACTTTATAACCGTCAGATAAAAATTTAACGAAAGGATTCATATAAACACTACATTATTCACATCTTATTATTTGTTAATTTTTTATTGAAGCTTTTGGAAATTTATTATTCTTATTTATATTTTTATTTTTATTTTTTTTATTTTAGCTTTTTTACGTGAATACCATATGGATTTACTATGATTGCATATTTATAACGAGATTTTTAATATATATAGGGGTTTTTAGGAAACATTTCGGTAGTTGGTCGTATAAATTGCTTTTCGGAATTATATTTTTAAGCTATTTGTTGGATTTCTTCGATTTCTTGAAGTTCTGTTATGTTTTATACATAATTTTATTGATAATTGTTATGGATTGTATTTTTTTACAAGTTTATGTTCGAATCGTTTTTTAATATTTTTTAATAATCACTCATTTTTTTTATTTAATATATAAATATAAAAAATTAAAATGTTGTATCATTATTTTTAAAAATAAATTAATAATATAAAATATTTAGCATTTTTAAAATTTTATTTTCTTTTAAATTGAAATTTTATATTTATTAATAAAAAAAAAATCCAAAAAAAAAAAAAGTATGTAAAAGTTATATTTTATTTAAAAAAAAAAAAAATTTAAAAAATAAATATATAATAAACATAAAAAAAAATAAGAATATAAAATAAAAATTTCTAAGAAATTTAAAAATGTCAGAAGAAAAAATAGTAAAAACTAAAAAAAAAAAAATTAACTAAAAAAAAACCTTCATTTAAAAATAAAATCTAAATTAATATAAAAAAAACATTCATAAATATTTCTAATAAAAAAAAAAAGATAATATTCAATGCTTCAAAAAAAGAAGCAGGTAATCCAAGTACAAATATTAAGAAAATAATCAGAAAATATAAGGGTCCATATAAAGTAAATAAAAATGAAAAAAAAAAAAATATATAAATATATAAATATATAAATATATATATATATATATATATATATTATTATATAATATATAAAGTGTGGTCGAAATAAAGAAGAAATTACATTTGAGAGATTAAAGATGGCTCATTTAGTAGTATTTTTTTGTCCAAAAGACTTATTTAATAAACAAGAATTCGAGGCTTTAAAATAATACATATAAAATGGCGGTCGTTTATTTTTTTTGAGTTCTGAAGGCGGAGAACATAAAAATTAAACAAATATTAATTATTTTTTGGAATAATATGGTATTAGTGTGAATTCTGATTGTGTTGTAAGAACGGCTTTTTATAAATATTTTTTCCCAAAAGAGACTTTTATTAGTAATGGAATTTTAAATGAAGAAGTTGTTAGGGTAGGAAGTGGATTACCAAAGGAAAATAAAAAACCTTAGAATAAATTTCTGTCTAATATCTTGGGTAAGGACAATGATGATGATGAAGATGAGTATATTAGAGACTCTTTGAGGGGTGGCTTGGACTTTGTTTATTGTTTTGGGTCAAGTTTAAATGTTTAGTTACCTTCTTAAGCTGTCTTGGGAAGTGGACCGCTATCTTATCCATCTAATAGACCTGTAGGAGCTATTTATATGAATAAAAGTGGAGGAAGAATAGCAGTATGTGGATCTTATGAAATGTTTTGTGATGAGTATTTTGATTAAGAAGATAATGCAAAGATCTTTGAGTTCTTTATGAAGTTTCTTTTAAGTGATGAATGTGAATTTCAATTTTAAAACAAAGAATAAGAATAAGAATATATATATGTACCTGATATAGGAGAATTAGCTGATAACTTAAAAAGTTGTTTACAAGTAAATATAAAAATATGTATATATATATATATATATATATATATATATAATATATATATATATATATATATATATATATATATATATATATAATATATATTATTATTATTATATATATATTAGTATAATATNTACTACTNTTAATTTAACTACCGTAGAAGTACTTTAAGTTTTAAAAATTTAATTAAGTAACGTTAAAACTTAAAGTTTTAAAGGTTTAAACGTTTAAAAAACTAAAGTTAAAACGTAAAAAAAACCTTAAAAAACTTTTTAAAAACTTTTTAAAGTTAAGGTTACCGTTTTAACCCTTTTTAAAAACGTTTTTAAAAACGTAAAAACCCCTTTTAAACCCGTTTTTTAAGGTTTTAAAGGGTTAAGTTACGTTACCTTTTCCCGTTCGGTTACCCCGTTTTAACCCGTTTTAACCCCCTTTAAAACCTTTTTAAAAAAAGTTTTTAAAAAAAGTTAAAAACTTTTAAACCCTTTAAACCCCTTTAACCCTTTTAAAAGTTTTAAAAGTTAAAATTTTAAAGTTTTAGTTAAGTTTAGTATAGTATTAGTTAATTTCGTCTTAGTAAGTTTACTAAGTAAGTAATAAAATAATATATATATATATATATATATATATATATATATATATATATATATATATATAAATATATATTTTATATTTATAATATATTTAATTAAAGGAAAGTGATGCATTACCTTTAGATTATAAATAATTATTTAGTAATGATATTTTCAAATATGATACTGATTTAATACCTGAAGCTGTTAAATTATATGAACTATTAAGTGTTAAACATGAAACAATAACTTTAATAGTGCCTTAATTTGAAACACCTTTATTAGGTATGATTCCTGCTACGTTTCCACCTATTTTAAAAGAATTATAACCTCCTAATTTAGAATAATTTGATTTAGATGATGAATTTGCTTCTCTGAGTCGGAGAAAATACATAAATATAAATATAAATATATATATATATATATATATATATATATATATATATATATATATATATTTATATTTATGTATTTATATATTTTTATTTTTTATTATAGGGTAAGATTAGCACAATTAACAAATAAATGTGATAATAACGATTTAGATTATTATGTAAAGGAAAGTGGTGATATTTTAGGAGTTACTGATAAGGTTAAAAATAAACATGATGCTAAAGCTATTTTAAGATATATCATGGAAGAATTAGTAATATTTTTATTTTTTTTATAATTATTAAATTATTTTAATATAAATTTAGATATAGTTTAAAAAATTAAACTAAGGATGATAATTTTGTTTATCTATTTTTTATATTAATTTTATTTTTATAATTAATAAGATATTTAAAAATGTTTTTTATTTTATATGAATATTTAATAAAATAAATAATATTATTTTTTCAAAATTTAAAATAATTATAAAAAAATTAAATTTTTTATTTTTTGATATTTGTAAATCGTTAGAAAAATAGACTATTTTCAAATTCAAATTTACATAATACTATATTAAAGAAAAACATAAAAAAATAAAAAAAATAAAAAAAACAAAATTTAAATATATATAAAAATATATATAAATATAAATATAAATATATATATATATATATATATATTTTTAAAATTATTTATATTAATTTATATTTATTTTAAATATATATATATAATTTTCTATTGTTTTCAATAATAAATAGATTTAACTTCATGTGTGCCTTTAGTTAAATTGTACATCCAATTTTTCGTAGTCTTATCTTTTTTTATTCCTTCTTCTTTTCCTGGCCATTTAGCTAACAATTAATATTAACCTGGACCTGGAGTTATATATTATTTCCCTTTTTTATTATTACCAAACCTTTAAGACTTTCCAAAATAATTAACTTTAGTTTTATCTGTTCCTTCTTTATTTAATTACATTAATTTCCCAAAACTTCTATAAGTAGATGGAAACGGATTATAAGAACATACATCAGGCATAGCTGATTTTAACCTTTTTTTACTTTCAGTTTTATGTTTATTTATCCAATCATTTGGCTTTGTTTTATTAGTTTGTAGTTTTGTTGTTACTGGCTTTTAAATTTATATATATATATATAAATATATAATAAAAATAAAAATACTCTTCCATTATATTAACCTGGGCCCGGAGTTGTTGCACTTAAAAATTAATATTCACATAGAAAATCTACTATTTCACTCTAACTTTATTTTTATTTTTTTTGTTAACTTAATTTTTATTTTTTTAATTACTGTATTTTTTTAGATTTTAAATCATCTTGTTCTTTTTTTATTTATTCATCTGTTTTTCTCAAATTGTATTTACCAGCTCCTGGTACTGGTCTTTTTTCGGATTCATGAATGATTAAATCTATATATGTATTTCTTTTAGTATCATGTGGTTTTTTTTTTCCCTTTTCTTTATCCTATTCTGATACCCATACATAATCCAAATTATATTTGCCAGGACCAGGCTTTCCTGATTTTTATTTTTCCAAATCTAATTAAAAATGACCTCTTTTAGTTACATATTTATTATTTTTAGTAGGCAATTTATTTTTTTCTCTTTTTTCAAAAAAATCTCGATCTTATATCTTTTTTAAATAAAAAAATTAATATTTTTTATTTAAACTATTTACTTATTTCATAGGATCAATATATTTACGAGGAACTTCATAACCTTCAATTCCAAAAACTTAAGCTCTTGTTGCTATATTAAACATATCTCTTATTGACATATTATCTTATTTATTAAATTATTATTTATTTAGTGAACTTATTTTTACTTGCTCGATTTATTAAAGCGGTTTATGCTCTTTATTTTAGGCTCATTAATTTTTATTTATTTATTTCTATTTTCTTTTTATATTATTTAAATCTTTTTTTTTTATCAAATAAAATAATGTTGTAAAAAATATATATATTATTTTTTTTATTTTTTTTTTAAAAGTTACAATTTTATTATTTAAATTATTCAAATTATTTTTTAATTTTAAAATAAAAAAATTATTTTAATTAAATAGTTTTATAGAAATTTAAAAAAAAATTATACATAAAATGCTTTAATATTATATATATATATATTTATATAATATAAATAAATATTTCAACAATAATTTCAAATAATTTCATTTTTATCTAAGATTTCTTATTAACTATTTTATTTTTCACTTAATTTTTCTTATTATTCTTCAATTTAATTTTATTTTAGAAGGTCTTCATTTTATTAAATCTAAATACTATTATCTACATTATATAATAAAATATTTTATTATTATTATTATTATTATTATTATTATTATTATTATTATTATTATTATTATTATTTTTCTAGTTTATCATTTTTTTATTCTATTTTATCTTCTTATTATTCTTTTTTATTTTTTTATTATTCTTGTTTATCTTTTTATTATTCTTATTACAATTCTTTTTATTTCTATTATATTTCTTCTTCTAATTCTTTTTATTATTTTTATTATTATTCTTTTTCTTCAATTTTTGCTTAAACAACTAAATCAATACTATCAAAATTTTAATATACATCTTTTTTAGAATCATTTTTTAATTTTTAACCTATTTTAATTATATTCTCATTATTCCAAAACGGTCCTTAATTTTATAATTTTTAGATATATTTATATGAATATATAATACCTTTTAATTTGATATGTTAAGCAATAGTTTACGCTATCTAAATTCTTACATTAACAACTTTATCATCTGCAAGTTTTTCAAAAATATCAATGAAGTTGTTTTAGAAAAATTCTTCATCCATCATAAATTAATTACACATAAGGATAAAGGTTTGCCTTTAGTTAAATTTATTTGAAATAGAAAATGCTTTAATATTATCAATTATACTCTATAAATATATATCTTGTAATTCTTTATCACTTTTTAAACTTTTTACTATTGAATAGATTCTATGGGCTGCTTATTCTCTTACTATAGATACTGTATCATTACATAATTTAAATGATATGGGCATTATATACCTAAAAATAGTTTCTGAATTGAATGCTTAGGCTAATTAGTCGAGTTGTTAAGCTATTAATTCTCTTATTCTCCACTTTTTTTAATCTTTTTAAATCACAAGAAATATTTCAAGAAACTATTCTCTTTTTTATTCATCAAATACTTATATAAACTATGTCAAATGTTTTATTAAACCATATTTTATTTCATCATTCGTATCTTTTAATATTAATTCAACTACATATAATAAGTCTCTTTCAGCTTTTTGTTAGCCTATTACATTAGCAATAACGTGAATACTAGAAGCTATAGGTTTTTTTATTTTCTATATATAAAAAAAAAAAAAAAATTATTTCAAAAAAATAAATTTTATACTGGATTATTGCTCTTTAATAAAAATTATAAAGTTTTTTAAAGAGAAGTCCATCTTTTTTCACCAAAAATAGTAATTATAGCAGGAAAATATTATGAACAATTGATAATTATCTATTTTGATAAATATATAAAAATAAAAATAAAATATATATATATATATATATATATATATATATATATATTTATATTTATATTTTTATTTATTTTTTATTATATTATATATATTTTTTTTATTACTTCATTATCATTTGTTAATCCATTTATTTAATTATCAATCATTTTATTATAATTTTCAAATAATCTCTCAGATATGACGCATTTTTACAATGTAATTATAAATGGGCCTATAGTTTTATAGGCTTAAACTTTGACTGTTTTTTAAGCGTCTTTTAAGAAATTTAAAAGGATTTCTGTTAATTAATTTTCTCTTATTTTTTCATGACAAATGTTTGAAATTTCTACTAAAATATTCACACATGCCCTTCTTATTTCTGAATTATTATCTATACTTTTTTTTAGATAAAATGGTAATAATTTTTATTTAAAATAATCCTAAGATACTACTTTTCCTATTATTGGTAAATTTAAAATACTTTCTTTTCTGACATTCAATTCTGGATCTTCACCTAAACTTAAAATTTCCATAGACACAAATTACTAACATAGATCTGTTCCAAAGCAATGCGCCATTTAAGCTAAAAGCTATATATATATTTTTTAGTATTAAATATTGAAAAAATATAAAATTTACTTATATAGAGACTATTCTATTGTTCTCATATTCATCGTCATGGGCCATACTAAGTACTTTTGTAAGAATATATTTTCCTCTATCTTCTTCTGTTAATATATCAGCTATCTAGCCTATAATTTTTCCTGAAGCTTCTTTTATCTATTTTTTTATATTATAAGATAATATTTTATATATTTTTTTTAAAAAGAAATTACATCTAATTTATTATTGGACAATAATATAAATAAGGCAGGTATGAATATATTTATTATTTAATTGTATCCGTTTTATCTTTATTGGAGAATACTAATAATATTTGGAAATTAGATAATTAAAGATCTTTTTATATCATCATTATCTCTTACCTATTTTTTTTTTTAAAAAAAAAATATAAAATAAAATAAAATTAATATTTTTTAAATAAATATTTACTAAATTATTTATTATGTTTTCTAAGAATGGATCTATTTTATCACCTAAAACTTACATTAAATCAGGTATGTATCTAGAGTATGTTAGCCTAAGAAAAAAATAGTATCTTTTTTTTAATTATAATAAAATACCTTTCATTAAATGGAGATTTTTATAAATTTATTAATTTATTTAAAGCTCCATCTACTGTGAAATCTACATAAACACCATCTATTTCTTATTTATTATTTAGAGGGAATTTCTCTATTTCTAAATCATGAACATCATCTTCATCTTCATTTATAAACATTTTCATTTATATTAAAAAAAAGAAATAAAATTATTTTTTATTTAAAATTTTGTATTTTTAATAATATAATAATAATTTATATATATGTTTTGAAAATTTATTAAAAACTAAAATTTAATAAATTAAAAATGAAATTAAATAATATAATAAATATATAAAAAAAAAAATTATTCTTAGGAAAATTTAAATTATGTATTTGTAATATATATTTTAGTAAAAATTGTTATATTAAAAATTAAAATATAAAAATTATATTGTATATTTAATATTATATTTTTTTTAACTTTTTATTATATTTTATTATAAAAATCTTAATAATAATTAAATATAAAATTATCAAAAATTATATACTGATTTTAAAAAAATATAAAGAAATAAAATAAAATAATCAAAAATAAATAAATTTTATTTAATATATATTTATATACTTTAAAAATATTATATTTATATTATATTCAATCAAAAAACTTAATATATGTATTATATAATATTTAATTTAAATATTATTATTATTATTATTATTATTATTATTATTATTATTATTATTATTATTATTATTATTATTTAACTTATTATTACATACTTAAATGATTAAATAAAATATTTATATATTTTATATAAATTATATTTTAATTTAAAAAATATTTTATATTAATAATAAAAATATTAATATAAATTAATGTAATATTTGTTAAATATTAATTATATTTTATTTTCAATAAATAAAAACATATAAAAAATTTTTAAGTTAAAACTTGATTTTTTTTTATTTTTTTATTTCTTAAATTTATTTTTTTTCAAAATTTCATTTCATGTGGAGCATCATTATTAGATAAAGAGAATCTGCTTGAAAGATATTTTCTCAAGAACTCTATTTTTTTAATACTATCAAGAATTACTTTATCTACATTATTTTAGTCTACTTTTCTTGCATTTTTTCTGTCTTATTCTTTCTTCTTTTATTCTTCAGTGAGCTATTTTTTTTTAAAAAAATAAAATTATATAACACAAGTTTTTTCCAATGTGAATTTTTTTTTTTATTAAATTAAAATATTTTATATAACTAAAAATATTTTTATATATTTTAAAAATAAAAAATGGTTTTTTTTTTTTATTTTAAAATATTAAAAGATAAAAAAAATAAATTAATATTTTTATCTTTTAAAAAAAGAATTATTTATTTTAGAATTTGTAATTCATCTATTTTCGTATATATAAAATTTAAATCGGTGTTACTTCTATATTGAAAAGGCCGGCTTTAGGGTTTTATCTAGCATGTTCTCTAGCAAGTAAGCATCATCATATTTATTAAGATCAATATTTCCTAATTAAACTTTAGTAGTTGTAGGAATTACATAAGCTTAGTTGACTCTTTTCAAAGGGACTCCGTTAACTTTATGAGGACCGGTGACTAATAAAAGACCGCTCTTAAGTTATTTTAAGAAAACAACTCTTTTTCCTCTGAATTTACCAGCTAATAAAATTAATACGGATCCAGGGGTGATATTTGATCTGAGTTTGGGTGCAGATTATCTTTAAGTCTATCTTCTATGGAATCTACTGCTTTCATCATCAGGTTTGTACCATTTAGATACTTTTGAAACTCCTTTAGTTGAACCTTTTGCTGCTCCTTTTGCCATTTTTTTTAATTATTATTATTTTTAGTTTTTTTTTTTTCCTTTTTATTTTATTTTTTTAGTTTTTCTTAATATTTATATATATTTATTATTATTATTTATATCCTTTATTTTTTATTTTTTTATTTTAATTTATTTTATACTTCTTTTTTTTTGATTTTTTTTATGTAATAATATAAAATACTTTATTAATATTATGATTTGATATAAATTTTGTAATTTTTAATATTAAATAAATAAAATTTTAGAATTTTAATATTTAAAATTATTTATTATTATTAAAAAAAATATAAACAATATTACTTCAGTAATTTGTATTTTTTTAATTTTTTAATTAATTATTTATTATTTATTATTGTAATTATTAATAATTTTATTGAAATTATTCTCTTCATATATTTTTAAATATGTTAAAAATAAAATAAATTATAATAAATAAAAAATATTTTAAATTTAATTATAAATATATTTTATTGAAAATAAATAAATAACGAATTGTTTTTGTTAATATATTTATATAACAAATTTAATAAAATTAAATATGTAATTCAAGATAAAAATAAAAGTTTAATATATATATATATCAATAAAATATATTAAATAAATTATATTATTTATTAAATAATGTAAACATGGTTTTAAAAGCTAATATAGCAAATAAATATAATAAAAACGTCAATAATGTATTAATTATTAATAAAAATACTTCTTATATATAAAATAAATAATTAAAAAAATTCATAATTAATATGAAATATAAAAAATAAAGATAAAAAAAAATTAGTAAATTTTATAATTACAAATTATAAATAAAATAATTTTTAAATTATATATTAAAAAAACTTTATATGAATAAACATAAATATATTTTTTTAATTAAGTATAATTTTATTTAAACAAAATTTTTTTAATAATTATATAATTTAATAAAATTTTAATTTAAATTATATTTAAATAAAAAAATATATATATAAAATGATTATTATATTAATAAATATTAATAAAAAATAAATATGAAATATAAAATCAAATAATTAATAAATTATATGAATAAAGTAAATATAATTAAAATTAATTAAATACTATATAAAAATTAATAATTTTTATAATTAATTTGTTTGATAGATTCTTAAAAGATCAAATCATATAAATTATGATTATTGTCATTAAAAACAAAATTAATAAATATATGCTAATAATAAAATTTAAAGTTTAAAAATAACATAAAATATAAATTAATAATATATAAATATAATAATAATAATTATATATTATAAAATATTACTAATAGTATTAAATATAATTATATAAACTTTTTTATTTTTTTTATATTATATGTTTCATTCCTATAATTTTTTGTAATTTTTATTTTTTTTACTATTTACATCTATTTATGTAATTAGCATTAATTAACTTTAATTAATACTTTATTTTTTATGTCTCAAATCTTCTACAATATCTTTCATTCTTTTAAAATATTTTCTTTTACTTGAAACAAAATAATGTTCTTTTAAATAAATTTTTTTCCTTATTATTTTCCAATAATGAGATTTTACCATTTTATTTTTTAAAACTTGTTCTATATGCGCATGTGCAAATCTTTTGCATTTTAAAAATTTTTAAAGGCATCTAATTTTTGATAATATTTTTTCTATAATTTGATATTTAAAATATAAGAATTTCAAAATAAAATATAAGCATGTAAATAAATGAACTAGTTCATTCATTATTTAAACTATTATTTTCGAAATACCTTAAAGTTCTATAAAATCAAATAAGATAGCATTAAAAAAAAGTTAAATAATGAAAGAATAAATTATATAAATAGTCTATTTATTAAGTTAATTTTGTAAATAAGGTCTATGCTTATTCATAATTAATATATACATTATGAAGATAGTTTATAAGAGAATAAATTGAGTAAGTTGTTAATATTTTAACATATAAGATAAGAAAACAATTGATACTTTTAAATAAACCTTAACGATTTCCCAATATTTATACTATGATCTATATTATGTATAAAAAAATCCATATTTTGTTTATACAGTAAACCAATTTTCATTTTATAGATTTTTTAATTTTTTATAAAGATATAAAGGTATAATAAACACCCATATTAGGAACCCAAACACATTAAGTAAAATAACATTATAATGTTAATCACTATAACATATTACATTCAAGTCAACTTCAACATATTACATATCTGCTATTCTTCTACAGGAAATTGCTTTTATAGTATATTCTGTTATATTTGGTTGAAAATATATAAATGCAAATAAGTAAATAGAATAGAATTTTCTTTTAACTTGTTAAAAATTAACTTTTTTTTTAGTTTTGATAATTACGTAAAAATAATAAACTAAACATACCCATCCATATATTATGATAGGAATTAATAAATTAACAAAAGATTTGGTTAATAATTAATTTTTAAAAGGCAAAATTTAACAATTACTAGCAACACTTAAACTAGTTGCTGGTTATCCAAAAATTTGACTCCAATTCATAAAATTTATTTAGAATTTAAATCTGTTTATAAAACTTTATATTTATGCATATTCTAAAAATAATTTCAAATAGTCATTTGATTAATCTACATACATACTGTTTCCAATAATAGCCATATTTAGCATATTCAAATAATATACTTAAGATCTCTTCATATAAAGTAAAGAGAATGAATTTAAAGTAATAAATACATAAAAAGTTATAAAAACAAACAAGAGTAACAACTTTAATTATGTTTTTGTAAAATCTCCACATTTTCCACAAACATATTATTCTATAGATGAATAATGTTATCCCCAAATTTCTGCCAAAACATCGCATTATTCACAAAGCGGCCCTATGTAACCTTATTCACAATAATTTATATTTGCTAAGCTATCCCTACAATTTTCAGGTTTGTTTTCACAATATATAATATAATCAGAATCATAAGTAGGTTTCCAATAACCGTCTTCTACTATAAAAGTACTATTAGCACATTCCTTTATGTTTTTTGTTGGACATTATTTACATTAAAATTCATCTCCTGTTTTTGGAAATACTAAGGAATATGCTCCGTTTTTACATGTGATGCAACTACTTCTTTCTTCGGTTTATTTTTGATACATTTCTCCTGGATAACATTGTCTAAAGTTTATTTGTATTAAAAGATTAAATCTACCTATTTGTACAGTTTAATTTTTAATTTAAGTTTAATTTTTTAAATCTGCTTATTCTAATATATACATAGGAAAATTATAATTTTCATTAGTAGAAAAATAAAAATTCTCTTCAACAAGAGGTTTATGGGCAATAATTGCAATTAATTCATTTTCATGGTCAAATTTTTAATAATCAAGCATTTTTAAAGTTGTTTTACCGTCTATTAAAATACTTGTTTTATTACTTCTAATTTATAATATTAGCTCATTTAAATCATTCAAAACATATTCAGGAATATTTTTTTTATCTAAATTTTTAAATAAGTACATTCTTGGTCTTTTTTTCTCCTCGTCTAGGAGCCTAAATTCTACTTTTAAAACAGAACTGCTTTAAAAATGGTCAACATAATAAGATTTAACAATCATATCTTTTTCTTAATAGATATTATTTAGAGGTTATAAATAAGGTAAGTTTATGTAAGGAATATGGGATCCATAATTATCTCCAAATATGATAGCACTGTTCATTATAAAAGTAATATCCTCATTCTATAAATCAAATATAAATTAAGGAGTATATAATTCATATTTAACAGCTCCTCCTATTAAAGCTAAATTTTATTAAAATTAAATTTTTTTTAATTTCAGATTACAGTTTCTTAAATATATAGCTCCTCCATAACCTGATGCTTTATTAGATATAAAATGCGTAGAATATATTTAATTGTCTTAATTTAAACAATTCTACATATATATAGATCCTCCACTTCCATATACTGCCTCATTATTCTAAAATAAAGATTCAAAAATTTTTACTTCGGAAGAATTTAAAATATGAAATATAGATCCGTTACATGAAAGGCATTTATTATATTGGTTTTTTGAATTTTATATTTCTATCTTAAAAACTTAAGCATAGACATAAGGAAGTATAGAAATATTGTCTTAAAATAGTATTTTTTTTATTTTAACGTTTACTTTAAAAAATGTTAAAGATTAATTATTATCCTAAATATAATTTAGAATAATCATTAATTAGAAACCTATACATTATGTTATTTTGAAATTGTTAAACTCTAGATTTTCTATTCTAGAAAATGATAGAATATAGTATTATCTCAGTAATTCTATATTTTTTTATTATTAGTATTATTAAATAATTTATGCTTTATCTTAATTATCATTAGTATAAGTATTACTAATTACAAAATCTTCGAATTTCATATATTAAATATTTTCAAAAAAAAACAAATTTTAATTTCCGTCATTAAAGAATGAATCGAAAATTTATACTTAAAATATTTCAATTTTTTTAGTGTTTGCTATTTAGAATAATTAAGAGTTTTCAAATACACAATTTTTTATTTATATATTTTTAACTTATAAAATATCCAACTAATCAATACTAAATAATTTACTGTTTTTTATTTTTATATCTTTTAAAATTAAATTTTAAATTATAATTTTTTTCATATTTTAAAACTTAAAATAAAATTCTTCTAATAAATCATTTTAAATACTAACGTTTTCAAGAATAATATATTTTGTTTTTTAATTTAATTATATATTGTTATACGGTTTTTAAAATAGCCATTTGAAGCCGTATATCCTAAACTTATCTAAATTAAGATTTTCGAATAGTTAATTTTAAATTATTAAAGTTTATTTATTTAATCCTTTTTAAGGAAGATAATCAAGAAAAACATTTTATTATAAATCGACAAAATTTTTTACTACAAAAAGTTCTTTTACATAATCTTAAGAAATTTTTAAGTCAAAATAATATGATAAATTAATTTCTTTAGGATTAATATTTAAAGGGATAGTATATTTAAAAATATCATAAATTTAGCTTATTTATTAAAGTTCTAAATAATGGCTATTAGAGTCG